TCTTCTTTCCTCGTGAGAATGCATCATATCAAAGTGCTGATGAAGTTTTCCAGCCATTTATAAATGAAAGCGTAGTTGTTTGAAGAGCTTTAAGGATACCTGGAGCGGAGAGAATATCGTCTCTGCTATGAAAAGGAGCTTAGAGTACAGAATGAAACCAGACAGGGTGTTTAAGTTCAGATTTTTGTGTTAGGATGGGAATACTCTTTGGTATAAAGAGCACTGAAGGCTTATCAACTAACGATTAATGTGTATGTTGAGGCCAGCTGAGGGGATATTACTTATAACCGTGTTGCTCATTTATTGTACTTAAATAATCTAATAAATAATTAAGAATTGCTTAATTAAGCTATTTATCAAATAGAATACTGTCCATAAAATATAAATGTAACTTCTCCCAGTATTGCAATATTTATGCTGCATAAGCATAAACTTTTATGACTTCTGTAGGCCAATGAAAGCTGTGTTTGGTAGAACCTGACCCAAATAAGGACTCATGTTCAGATTTCTATGGGATAAAAACTCTCCAGGCGTGGTAGAAGGCTCTTTTTTCTTCCAATCTAGTTTCACATCTGTGTTTTCTGATTTCTTCTTTGTCTATTGGAAAAATTGAACTGGTCTCAAACTGGACTCATCACTGGCCTTAGGAAGATGGAAATCCAGCAGCTGGTAGTTCAGGTACAGCTGCTGGATGTGCTCCTTCATCTATACGTGCAATTGCAGGACTGCATACAGACTGCACTGGGATGTTATGAGCCCAAGAACGTTTCTGTCCCCTTTTCCTTCTTTTTAGAGAGACAGATGAGGAGAAACGGTGCAAAAGTGTTGTTTGAGATGGGAGGAGCTGTGGAGAATAGACTTAAATGAACAGTGCATTTCAGGGATGAAGGAGGCTCTTGGTAGGCTGTCATTTTTGGAGAAGAAAGAAAAAGGAGAAGGTAAAACAAGTCCTCCAGCGAAGGTTGATTTTTTTAAAGCCATTTGGAAATGGATGGATATTCATCGCTGGCAGAGAGATCGCTGTGACTGTTCAGGAGAAAGCAGGGCAGAGCACGGTGTTTGACCAGGCCTCTGTCAACCATAGGCTTTCACTCCAAATCATTTTCTGACACGACTCTCATTCCACGCAGCTGCTTCTTTCTGCTACTTCCATATTTACACTGTTGCTTTCCAAGACAAAGTATGGGGGGAAAAAAAAAAAATCATCTTTTAAAGCTACTGACATGAAGACAGGTCTTTTTAACTTATTTCAGGATGGTTTAAGCTGAGTAAACCCAGCAGATAGATCCTGACTTGACTCTACCCCGGGGCTCTTCCAGCAGGTGATGGACTGCAGCCCAGCAAGCAAGCGCTGCCTTTTATTCCTCCCCGAGTGCTGCCAAGGGGAGGTAGTGCAAGGGGGGAAATATATTTCCTTAGTGATTTTACAGCTTTTGTGGGTATTTGCTGCCTCCTGGTGACGGTACAAAGATGTATGGTGCTGTTCCTCTGAAAAACAGGGTACTGCGGTGAGCATTTTAGAAAGAGTTTTTATTAGTCGTTAATTGTTAATTCCTCTCTGCATTTTTCTTCAGAAAGTCTTGGCTGTGGTGCCAGAAGTGAGGCAGGAAAGAGAAACCCGTGAGAGACTCTGGCACGTACAGCCTTGTGCAGTGTTGTGTTTCGGAAAGGGGGTTTAGTATAAGGAGGAAGGTGATCCTCTTAGTTCTCCACTGTAACGTTCTTCTCCAAGGGAGTAAATGAATACATAGGGAGATGCCATGTTCAAATCAATCAGAAATAAAAAGTCAATATCTGACGTTTACAACTCGCTGAGGTCCCATGTTTTGCTAACAAGGAGCCATCCTCATAGGGGTTCAGCATGTTTTGACGTGTATCTTCAGGTCGGTGTGTATGTTCCTGGTGCTGTCTGATAGATACACGTGAATGAAGCACATACATCTTGTAAGGGTCACTTACAGAAAGGTGGAGATTTCCTTCACTTTGCTGACAGTGCATGGCACAAAGCAGCTTCATCTATATGCTTGACCTCTCAAGAAACTCCTCCTGAAGGTAAATGTCTCCAAAATGTGTCTTTGTAACACAGAGGTGCCAGAGATTGATGAAGCATCTGGCCTTTTTCCTCTGCCCTTTGAACTTCCATCTCCTTTCCCCAAATAAAGGGGTATTGAGGAGGTAGAGTCGGATAAACCAGGGCAGAAGCCCTTCCCTGTAAGCTGCATCTAAAATGCTTTATCCTGAGATGAAACTTCTCACTGGAGTCACGACACGGATGCGATCGCCTGGCAGGTGTTACGCTTTGGCAGCCTGTCCAGGGGGCTCCTGCCAGATGTTTTGAGTATTGTTGTTTTCATGGTCAAATTAAATGTGGAGCCAGGAACAGTTTTCCCCGCTGCCTCAAAGATTTTCTTTTATTTCCACCCTCCGTTTGTACATTGATGGTAAAATGTTACTAAAAACAAAGCAGACCAAAGATTTAGCTCCCAATCTTGGCTGTGCTGGTTTTGCCTGGATACGTTTTGGATTTTTGCTCTTCAGGGCCTCAGAGATAAAGCAAACGTTGCATCTTTAGAAAGACTTTAGGTTTCTTTGAGGAAAAGGGAGGTTAAAAGAAGAAAAGAAAAAGCTTAACCAAAACCATCGAGTACGTGTGGTGGCACTGGTGCTGTGGGGAGCTAACGAGAGTCCCAAGACGAATGTGGGCACTCAAACATTCTGTTAGTCCGTCACTCACTTGTGCCTGTTCAGGTGTGGCAGCAGTGAAAATCCATCTAGTCCCAACATGACCTTGTCCAGGAGAGAAATGCTGTTTCCAGGTGGTAGAGATAGTCAGCTCTCACTTAATGCGGCGGCAGGGAGTTTCGGAGAAGAAAGGGAAAGCTGAAGGTATGAAATCCTCCGTCATCAATAATGCATGTCAACTTCTTTACCAAAATAGCAATTAAAGATTTAATGTATATGCTTTCCTAGTTAATGGGGGCACATTGGTTTTTACTGCAAAAGTCAGTAGTAATCCAGTGCCTCTCAAAAAGGCAAATAAAATAACCATTAAAAGTGCTTGTCTGAACTATTGTGTTCACAGAAAAACAGCCAGGCGTTCACAGTGAAGTAATGTCAGATTTTAGTATTTAGAGGAAACGTGGGGGAAGTGCTTTGGAATACATATCTCTTAAAATGAAAAAGGCCAAACAAATCTCTCCATGATCCTACTTAAATTTATAAAGAAATAGGCACCGTAGGAGTCTTTAAAAGCTGTGCAGGCGTTTTAATGCCGATTTAAACAAGTGCCAATTTTTTAGCATCGTATACTGTATGATAGTAAAGCGTATTTCTGTACATATCTAAGCTTGAAGAGTATGATCACGTTGCTTGCTGGCTGCCCCTTGAGTGTTTGGTGCCCGTTCACGCGCTGTTTTCACAATATATGGGCTATAGGTAGCGATACGTGATCAGGAACAGGCTCTCCACCTTTTGCATTCTCGGGGACTGGTTCCTGCTGTCTATCCTTTTATTTTTAAAAAATGATAAATATTTCTAAGTCTTTGCTCTACTCTTTGCTAAAGCATTTGCTGTCGTAGGGTAGGGCTGCCGGTTGCTGAAGCGATGATTGAAGGACAAAAAGCGCCAGTCGCTCACAGCTCGTATAAGGCAAAGGGCCGGGCGTTTATGGAGAGAGGGAACAGCAGGGAGCTGGTGGGATGAGATGCCATTGATCGTCATAAACTGTGGTTTTTTGGTCAGCAGCGCAACTGTGGCTTCACTTCCAAGTAGAAGAAGTCATCATTGGGGTCATGGACATTTGTAGGAGTAGGATGGGAGAGCAGAGTGGAAACCACAGCGTTGTTTGGAAGTAGGAAGTTTGCGGATCTGCGAAAAGGGTCAAGTTTTTGAAAACAGAGCTGAGTTTGTTTTCGAAGACGGGGAGTATTGAGTGGTCAGGGTCTTTCTCCCACCATAGTCTTTCCTACGTGGCTGTGGTCTCCATTGGGAGCCCCAGAACGGTGAGAACAGAGCCGTGCCCAGAGTCAGGGAGAGGCACACGCCGGTTCCCCCTCCAACAGAAGTCCCCGTTCAAGCACACAGAGCACAGCGGTCGGCGTAATTAGCGCGCTTTAAGAAATAAGTCATCTATTCTGGTTAATCTTCCTTTAAGTGCTCTCTTTAAATTCACGCTGGAGTGTGGGGAAAGAGGTTTGGAGACGTTTCCTCTTACCCATCAGTGCAGTACTTGAGGAGAGGGGCATTCACTGGGATTCAGATACACACAAGGAAAAATTTTAATCTTAGAAAGCTGGTGTGCCTTGAAGTTGCTCATTAAGTATTCAGTGTGATAAGATCATAAATAAAGTTGGCTTTTATTATGCTTATGATTATTATAATAACTGCTTTTTGTTAAATCTGCTTCTTTGCATTTTCCCTAGAAGTTGATAAATCTATTCATCCTTTCCTCCTTTTTAGATTTAAGAAAAAGCAATATAGATTTGGGGGAATGAAGAAATGCCTGTAGTTCTGCAACGGCCAGTTAAAAAGAATCCAAATACTATACGCTTTATCTTATTTTTGTAATTTGGAAAAGAAAAAATAATCAATTTTCTCTGCTTCTTCCAAAGCTCTTCTTTTTTGGGTTATCCTCACACTTTAAATATCACCAAAGATAGTCAATATTGGCTTTTCCAATTTGATTAAATCTTTCAGCCTTACTGTTCTGAATTTCCTGGTGAAAATTGGTGGATGTCATATAAGGAGGTCAAATAGGTAACTTGGAAACAACAGTTTTCTTTGAAAATAGATGCACATTGTTCCTCACTGGGGGTTACAAGCACTGAACTGTGCGAAACGCTTTGCACTGCTGTATGATCTTTCATCAAAGTACCTCTAAGTATTACATGAACTTTTAGTCTCTTTTTTTTTTTATTTGCTGGAGTTTTTTAGCTGCTGTTACATTATGAACAAGGACAATAAGATTTATTTTTTTATTTTATTTTTTTTTTCCTTTGCAGTTGTTTCCTGTCTTTGCTCCTGGTGGCAGCTGTGGTTTGGAAGATTAAACAAAGTTGCTGGGCATCGCGACGGAGAGAGGTTGAAATGACAAAATTGAATGCTATCTCTTAAATGACTTTTTTATAGTTGTTCTCTCTTGTATTTATTCGCATATGCATAGCATTAACCTTCAGTTAAGGATAAGCTCCACTAATCTATAAATGCTTCTGTTTGGGGATTTATAATAGTGTACTTTCGATTACAGTTTCAGTGACAAATGATGCTATTTTAGTATCCTGATGCTGCAGTTTTCTGTGAAGCACAACAAACACGGGTCAATGTCCTGCGTTCCCCAGACTCGAGTTGTAGACAGTGCAAATACAAAACCACCGCAAATTAAGAGATTCTTTACATCTGTTTCAAAAGAAAACAGACTGCGCCAACTCTCTGAACCACGTTAGCTCCTGCTTTAATCTGTTTAAAAAAGGACTAATCCCCATTTTCAAATTAAAAGCTTATCTAAATGTTTTAGGGTTATTTATTGTTTTGGTTTGATTTTTTTTCCCATCCGTGGAATATAGTATAAGAGAAAGGTGGGAGAAGCCACCGACAATTTGGAAAGCTGTAGTGTACTAAAAAAGGTAATTTTCAGTGCTAGAGCTTTCTTCTCTTCACCTAGCCATGCACCATACCAGCTTCCCAACTTTTTCTTGTTTGCAGTGTGTAAAAAAATGTGCTTTACATTCCCAAAAATACGGTTCTTCGTTGTTTATCCCTGATACATTTGGTGGTGGTTTTTTTGGTTTTTTTTTTTTTTACTTTTCCACCACCCTTTTTTCCTGCTCCTTAATTGAAGCTGATTTCATGTTACACCCTAAGCACGCAGGGTGCCCGAGATAAGATGGCCAACTTGTCACTCAGTAGCATAAAGAACGTGTCCTTATTTCTATTTTTTCAGCATAAATGCAGAAATGTGTAGTAGAGCTGTGTAAAGAAGCAAGTCCTTGTGTGCCACAAGGCAGACGACTGCACATTCCTGGGCTTTTCTGGCTGTGGGAGGAATTAAAACCATGGAAGGCAAAGCCCTGTATAACGTACAAATACAGCAGAGGTTGGGCTGGACTGTGACTGGGATTATTTTTAGGAGCTTTGTGTCGTGTGATCTCTTTACTTGTGTGCAAAATGAGAGAAGCCAGACTTTATTCAAGTGAGTCCCTGTGCACTTTCTATATGTAGGTGTCTATACATCGTCACCTGAGACCAGGTGTCTTTTCCTAAGGAATGAGGTGTGTTTCTCTCCTGCTCTTGGATTTTAGGGTGAAATCTGCCCATTCCCATAGATTTTTTTTCCTCCTAGCTGTCATGCTGGGATGAAGCTCTTGGCAGCTGCAGGCACTCAGCCGTGTAACTGTTCTATTCAAGGGTGTTTTATTCATATGTAGTAATTGATCAAGGGTGTTTTGGGGATTAATTTTAACAGCGCTTAAATTCTGTGCAAGTGCCCATTTCTTGCATATCTTCAGAAATCTGCGTGTGGTTGTACTTTCCAGTGCAGTAGTGGGAATAGTATAAATTTACTCAACCCGAGGATCTCCTTCCTTGTAATAAAGCAGGATGATGTCTGATAACTCTTTTCCTCTTCTTCCTCTTTCTGCTTCAGATGGTTTTACTCTTACTAGTGAACTCAAACGCATAATGTAATCAGTGGGTTTCAAACAGATAACCCTTAATCTTTGAAATAATTTCAGTCTTTGAGGTTTTCCGTATTCTCCGAAGGTAGATAAATTTTGACTAGGACAGCTGGTTTTTTCCTTCTCACTTTCTTGGCAAGAAGGTGAGCTGGAGTCAGCATAATGTTCCCCATTGGCTCCTGGGGTTTAATGTTATCTAGGAATGTATAAGGAATATAGTCTGAGAAGTAAATGCTGTGCTTTGGAGCTCAGTTAAAATGTTTTAGCAGTGGCCTAAACAAAAAAAAAATGTCTTTATAAATGAAGTTGCTTTCATTCTGATGCATCTTTTAAGGGAAAAAAGCTGGAAAACTAGCAACATACTGGTGTGGTTTAGTCTAAATTCACTTTTACATATGTGGCTATTTGATGGGCAGTTTATCAGTGTGTTCTTTTCCTGGCAGATTCCTGGTTTTGGTGTTATTTGTCATACTCCTCCTTTTCGTGTAGTGCCTCTATCTTGTAGTTCATAGATCTCTGCTATTCCATTCCTTTTTTTTTGGAAATACTTGCAAAACCTGAGGAAAGGGCTTTAAATCTTTGCCATGCCATTATTAGGAATATCAGTAAAGAATGTCTCCAGAAACAAAAGTCTGTCCAAAATTTCTTGGTATTCTCTCTTTCTGGTATTCTCTAAGATGATTTTATAGTTGCAGGGGTTTTTTTATGCAGTCTCTCAATAAATCCTGGCAAGGCTTCCTTTAAACATTAGTAGTTAAAATAATGATTAATAGCAATTTACTACTCTGAAAGTTTTAAATGTCCACAAGTTTACCCTTGTTGTTCTGGGAATGTTTCTGAAGCGTGTGGGTTTTAGATTTGCCAGTCTTCCTTCCTTTGGAGGTGGCTGCTCTCTTTGGTTTTCTCCGTTATCCTTACAGGAGTCTTGGGTCGCAGAGTTTGCAGGCTGGACTGGGAAAAACAGATTTCGATTTATCACCTTTTTTTTTTCCCCTCTATAAACTGCTAACACAGTCGATGGAGACCACCTCCTCCACCTCCTCCCACCGCATTACAAATTAGAGGCAGGGTGAAAGAAAAGGTGATTCAGCAGTGGTGGCAGGACACCCGATTCAGGCAGCATATTGTAAACTTTAGCTTAATATATGCTACAGCCCTGGAGGAAGATATTTGACTGGTTTGAGCTATATTTTTAGAAGTAGACAGGTTACAGTAGCCTGTCTCCCGTGGGTCATGCTGTAGTAATTCTGCGTGTGTTCTCTAAACTCAGCTCAAAAGTAAGTAAAATATAATGCAATCTGCTGGTAATTCCCAGCTATCAATCACTTCTACTTCCAGTATAAGCATTGCGAGTGCCTAACTTCTTATCGCAGTGCAGAATGAAAAGTAGATAGGTGAAGCTTAATCTGAGATACGTATAGGACAGAAAAGGGAGTGTGTTGAAAGGTCTAGTAGTGAAAATTATTCAGACAGTGTTGCTTGGAAATTGTGCTGGGAGAAGTTGTACAGCTGTGCTTGGTGTATCAGGTTAATGGAACAGAGCAGCATGATTTGATTGAAACTAAATTTGCATTACTCCTTACTGAGAAAGCAATGTACTACAAACACCAAAATCTACATCAAGATCTTGTAAAAATATATAAGATTCTCCTGACTTCTTTTTTCCCTTCCTTTCTGCAGCATCCTCTTTGACCAGCTGCTTGCACGTGTCAGTGCTGATGTTTCTCAGCCTTAAGGCTAAAGGGTCTTTTGGGTGTGCAGACACGGCGTATCAAATGTGTAGCTGTAGGAAAATGAGTTTGGAGCACTGAGCAAAAGTTCAGGACTTACAGAGTATAAAACTTGACCTGAAGTAAAAATGGGAACAATTTGTGTCATATCAGGCATGGAAGAGATGGGATCGTAAATTGTGTGTTTATTCCCTCTCCAGTGAGCACCAAGTTTAAGTATCCTCAGACATCTTAAAGAGGGGAAAATGGAAATAAAAAGGCAGCTTTTATAGCAAGCTCAGGATGAGGTGAATGACATGAGGAAATAGGGGTAGGAAACATTTCTGTCTCCTCTCTAGAAAATGACGCGTTAAATACATCAAGGTGGTAATAGAGAATAATGCACAAAATACGAGAATGGCATTAGAAATTTAATATGCCCATCTGCTGTCATCAATTTTTTGTCCAATTGTTTTATTTTAGCATCCAGATCCTATTCTCTTCGCCTTCAGTCTGCTGCTTCTCCTCCACTTTGCACAAGATAGAGCTCCTTGTAACATTTCCAGCAAATGGAGTGTGGACAGAGATTTGACCAACTCAGTGTAGCTGTCTGTGTGAGGGTCAGCTGGATTGCTCTCCATGCCGCTTGTGACGTGTTGGGAGCATCATAGAATGGTTTGGGTTGGAAGGGACCATCAAGATCATCTAGTTCCAACCCCCCTGCCATGGGCAGGGACACCTTCCACTACACCAGGTGGCTCAAAGCCTCATCCAACCTGGCCTTGAACACCTCCAGGGATGGGACAGCCACAACTCCTCTGGGCAACCTGGTCCAGTGCCTCACCACCCTCATTGCAAAAAATTTCTTGGATCTAATCGAAGTCTACCTTCGTTGATTGCCCCATGTCCTATCACTACATGTCCTTGTCGAAAGTCCCTCTCCAGCTTTCTTGTAGCCCCTTTAAGTACTGGAAGGCTGCTAGAAGGTCTCCCTGGAGCCTTCTCTTCTCCAGGCTGAACAACCCCAACTCTCTCAGCCTGTCTTCATAGCAGAGGTGCTCCAGCCCTCAGATCATCTTTGTGACCCTCTTCTGGACCTAATTCAACAACTCCATGTCCTTCTGATGTTGGAGGCCCCAGAGCTGAACACAGCACTGCGGTGGGGTCAGGCAGAGAGGTGAGACTGACTGGCCTGTATTTCCCAGGTTGTCTTTTTTTCCCTTTTTAAAAACGACGACTATGTTTCCCCTTTTCCAGTCAATGGGAACTTCACTGGACTGCCACGACTTCTGAAATATGATGGATAATGACTTAGCAGCTTCATCTTCCAGTTCTCCCAGGACCCACAGATGCACCTTATCAGGTCCCATGGACTTGTGCACCTTCAGGTTCTTTAGATGGTCTTGAACCTGATCTTCTCCTACAGTGGATGGTTCTTCATTCTCCCAGTCCCTGCCTTTGCCTTTGTCCCGGTTTTAGCTGGGACAGAGTTTTGGGGTTTTTTTAACAGCCGGAGGAGCTCCCTGTTTTGGTTTTGCTCAGAGGCTCACTCTGAGAGGAATGTTGATAGCAAGCTGATGTTTGTGGTTGGAAGTGAAACTCCGAGGGAAACTCCAAGGCCTTTGCAGTGTGTGGAGTGCAGAAACGCGGCGGGATGGGGGGGGAGCGTGGCTGGGACGGGGGGGACACGATTCCTCAT